ATTCAAAACACCATAGTTTTTTATGTATAAATTCTTTGGGAGGACCCCTCAGGAACTTAGATCTAATAAATTTCCATATTGCACTAAAAGTTGAATTAAATCCACTCATTTGACTTAATTTATTATTTAATTACTTTAATTATAAAAATACGCCAAAGGCATATGTAACAGTAACATTATTTGTTACATAACAGTATTTGTAAAATAATTTGTTAACAAATTATTTTTGATAATACAGGATGTCTAAGAAACATGTGGCAACATGAATTTCCGCTATACACAGTATATATTCCTTTAATATGTTATACAGGATATTTCTTCCAAGTTGAGATCCAGAACATTAGCACTTTGAACCTTTTATCAAACAACTCAAGCGTTTTTTGAGCATCAGAAGAATATAAGAAGCACTTAGATAAAGAAATATATTTTCAAATTAAGCATTGTTTTTGAAGATAGACGCCAAAGTGTTAGTTTTCGGTCCGCATTTTATGCGCCTAAACCAATAAACAAATTCTTAAAAATCAGCAACTTTTCGCTAAGCTGTAGCTGCGCCAAGAAAGGTTCAACAAAAGCTTAATAAAAGCAAGTTAATCACAGACAACGGGAAAAATGTATCAAAATAAATTCTAAAGCTCCTCTCAACTGACTTCTTTTTTCTATATAATACGCTTAATAGTAACAACAATTTTTTGCAACAATTACTGTTATTAAGAAAATAGCGTAAAAAAAGACTCGTCCTGTACATGGGGGTTTTGAAAGACAAAAAGCGTGATATCACTAAAATTTGGGTTTTATACCTGCTGAATAACCAGTGTGAAACCGACACAATGAGTTTATCATTTGGCATTTTGGGTGCCTGTTTTATTACAGAAACGAGTTTGTGCAAATTTAAAAATCAACCTTCTCAAATTGGATTGTTCAATCATCAATTCATAAGAACTGAGGGTTTTCAATATTATTTAGATTTGCAAATATTTTTATTGAAGCAATCACTGTTTCGCTGTTTGTTTATTTCATCTCTTGAATGAATAAGATAATAAACTATTTATTAAAATAATAAAACGCAAACTAGAAACCTTTGCACACAACTCATAGCCGGTTCAGTACAGTTAAAAGTTATCATTGCAGCAGGATCAATTAATGAAATAGACAATAAGTTAGCATTACTCTTGATCATTTCTGGTAAACAAACTGATTTCTGATAATCAATCACGAAACTTTTATGTGCTATCATAGAAAGGAGTCCAGTCTTGAAAAATATATCAAATTAACAAACATTGTTCAGGTAAACGGTTCCTAAATCGACATATAAAGAGTTACTTACCTTTAAGACTGAACAGTCCTTCGTGAAAGTCTACGGAAACTCTTTTACAAAATCTTCAGCTACAGCCAAGACTTTTAGATATTAGATTAGATAAAATGATAAGCGACGACTTAACACCGCTTGAAATCAAGCAAACTGAACCAACATAGAGGAAAGTCGCGTAAAATTACCTCGCACCGTAGCAAGCTTGCAGGTACTATATTAATGTCTTGTATCTTGATACCACCGGCAACGCACTGAGAAATCGGAGAACACGAAACCGCCAGCACGCGTGAGAGACCTGTTATACAGTGTGTTCAATTTTTTCTGGCCAGAACATTATCATCATACACAGCAGCATTGTTTGCAGTAGAAGAGAATGATTTACAACTTTATAATGAGACTATCAGCAAACAGTTCCTGAACCCAGCTAGTTACCGCATGCAACGCGCTTTATTAATTAATGGCATTTTAAAATACTTTGAACATATTTAGCAAGTTTCATCTAGACCTGAAGGTTAGTCTGAACTGATGACTATATTATACAGAGTTTTTGAAAATCAGCAATAAACAAGCGGAATTTAAAATTAAACTAGTCTCATCTCAAATTCTGAGCATTTTTTGATGACTTAATATTATTATCCTCTGGAAATTTTGTCCATTTGACTATAACTTATTTGAACTGTTCACACTCTGATACGTGACATTAAATTTAAAAAAAAGTTAACTCATCTCTATGAGTAAATATATTTAGTCTATATACATATAAGGGGTCAAAAGCCTACAAATAAATAGCCTATACATAAATTATATGTTTATATGTTTAGATCTATGACTTATTGACCAACACAAAACGATGAACAATAAGCATAAAGTTATTAACTGCATAATTTTTAAATCACTTCACTATATGCACTTAAACATCATTTGAAAGATGCACAATACACATTCGCTGTACCAAATGGGTATAAATCTTGGTACGGTTCACAGAAACCAGTTCCATTTAATTTAAAATAAGAACACTAAGACAAAAGGATGCGAAGCTTGCTTTAAAAATAGCCGGGCAGGAATGTGTGTAAAGAGTGGAAAAGGAAGACGAGTAAACGATTAAATCTCAAGAGCGCAATGGACGTTTTTCATTGAAAAAATGAAAAGAAGCAAAAAAGTAATGATACTAACGTAAAAATCCAGCGGCCGACGAGTATTCACAGACTTATCTTCTTATCGTTCCCAGAAGTTCAATACATTCTAAGTTTTTACTATTCTCAACCTCACACTACGTACTCAACCTCACACAATTGATAATTCAACCCCATTTGTAAACACATTTTTTTCATTTAAGCTTTTAAATTTACAACAAATCCTTTCATTGTCAATGATTTAGATCTTCTTGCTAAAACTATTTAAACAAATATATACATAACTATAAATGTTAACAAACAAACTCATAACTTATTATGGGTCACACTGTATATAAGATAAATCGTAATTTGAGGACAGCGGTGAGTTTTTCATAGCAACAAACTTGTTCATCAAAATTCATCCATCGGATCGTGCATTTTCATTCCGTATGTGTGCACTTTCATCGCATAAGTGCGCATTAATGAAACGAAATAATATTGTACATTATGGCTGTTTTATTCAACAAAACAGTATTACAACGAGCTAATTTACTGTTTAATTATGTAAATTTTTGTTGGAAATGGGTATTTAAAACCTAGAATGCATATAATAGTCTATCGCTGTTGAAAAGGCTGCAAACCCTAAGGCTCCTACTGCACCTGCTTTAAGGCCAGCTGTAATTGAAGCAAATAATTAAATTTAGGAAGGTTTCGTTAAAAAATAGAACATTTAAACATTGAAAATTGGGTGAAAATTACACTCAGAACGAAAGTGAATATTTTCTTGGAGTTTATTGAAAAATTAAATTTTTTTTATTAAAACAAAACTGGCTGCACCCTTAGGCCAATTTTGAATTGTAAAACAGATGAAACTGTACTAAAAATAGAAAACCTCCCGAAAAAGCCCTCAAGAAGGTAATTTTTGTTTAATATGATTTAATTCAAATTTTGAATTTTTTCAGCCAAATTCATCAAAAAAACGAAAAAATCACAATTCTCCGGCAGCACTTCTAACTAAATTCGTTTTTGACATTGCATTGATTCATGTACAATGTGATACAAATTGAAGCTGCAAGTAATAAAAAGTAGATAAATAGGAAAATCTGAAGGAATTTGCACCGCAAAAATGCCAATTCCGTTAAAAAGTTATTTGCAAAAAACAGAAATGCGCATTGTCGAAAAGCAAATGTAATTTTAACTTTTTATTCCACATACTTTAGCATTTTATAGAAAAAAAACGCCGATACTTTAGCTAAGAAATTTAATTTTAATTTTTTTAAACGGTCGCGACTTTAAGTTACATATTGCTGTTAATTATGATTGAAATAATGGACCGTAAAACAATTATTTGTTAAAAATAGTATTAGGTTTTATCATTATTGGACAAATTATGAACAGAACGGGTGCCCCGTAAATAGTTTGTTAACTTTAAAACATTTATTTAATCAACAAGAATATGGAAATATTAATTGAGTGAGCTTGAGATCACTGTAGCGGAATTCGAAGGTGAAATTAATTTATATAGAACTTACAAGCAAGCATGAGCTGATTCGATTTGAACGCATAAAATGTTTTTTAAGTTTCAAAGCGAAAATTACATCTAAATGTATTTTCCCTAAAAGCTCTTTTCTTGAGTATTCTACTATTTTTGAGAAGTTAAAAAACACATTTATTTCTTATGAAAGCGCGGAATGTCCTTGAAAAATGTACGAAAGCTAATGTCATAATCAATAATGTTTTATTTATAATATTTATAATGAATTAACTAAAGAGATATGAATGTTCTATAACTTCCCATAAACATGTGTACGCTATTTGCAAGCCATTGTTATGGAAATTGATTGCTGCTTATCCATAAGTTATCAGATTTTAAAACTGTTATTAGAGAATCAATAATTTAAAGCGATTTTATTACAACAAATGGGATTCGAAATAAACAATAAAATAATTCAGGGTTTGAAAATTTTCAGGCCGGTTAAATTCAGTCAAAAGCTTCCCCTTTTTAATTGTTTTTCGGTTGAAAAAATATCGGATTTTAATCTAAAAAGGCCGAGTTACTTGCAATTTCAGTAAAAAGAACTTTTGGTTTTTGAATTATTCACAAAGGTGCTCACTTCAATCTTAATTTGGGTCCTCTAAATGGTCTAATAAGTTAACGGCGAACCATTTCTGTAAATAATTTCTCGAGCTTTTTCCTATTAAAGTTGAAGCAAAATTTCGAACCTTAAGAAAAATGGACCCAACATTTTAATAATTTTTGTACACTTTCATTTAATTCTTGGAAACGGTCAAACCTACCAAAATAAGAATTGCGCCCATTTCAATAGTGCCTTCTTTTTAGATATTCGGAGCAAATAAAGCCTAATAAGAGAACATTGTTCAATACGTTTTTTTCAGTGAAAACACACAGAAAATGGTACTAATATTCTGACAATCCGTTATTAAGCTTTATTAGAAACCCTTTTAAAAGACAAATTTTAAGAAGTCGTAAAAAAAGATACAAGCTCGGAAACCGTTATCACATCTGAATGATTATTAGAACATTTTTTCCAGTAGATTCATTCATAGATAGATCTTCATTAGGATTTATCATAAATGTATACCCCCTACAAATATATTTGCACATACGTTGGATTAAGTGCACATGGTATTCCATAAAAATACCATCCAACCTCAACCTTGGCTGCTTGAACATATGCACAAAGTTTCTCTTCTTTTATAAATTATTTAATTTCCGATAGTCGACCTTCCTCGTATCAGCCGCAATTAATTCATTTTATGAGAAGTATTGCCCTCTAGCAATGGGTATTTCGAAAATAAAATGCTCTGGAGCGGTAGGAGATAGCAATCTGTTTTCCTTCGGCTTTTAGGGGAAGAAATTGCCATTCACTTCTTCTTACTTTGAACGGAAATTTAAACCTATTTAACTACTAAAGTTTGATTAGTTGTTGAGGTGCATTTTCTACAATTTATCAAACTTCAGATATTTCAATTGACTGCAAATATATCTTTTTAATTGAAACCGTCTTTAAACATGTTTATGCGAATAACAAATATTAATATCAGAAGACGAATTATAAAATATCGCTTAGATCACAGTAAAAAAAAAGTTTCCATTTAAGATGGAAAATTAGTTCTAGTCAATTCAAATATTTCAACTTTGATAATTGGTAGAAATAGCAACTGAGCAACAGCTAATAAAACTTGGAAATAAGGAAGATAACGCTCATTTTTTTGTATACAGATCGCAAAACTAAGGAAGCACGGTTTTAACGCACATTTAAAAACGGTTGTTTATTAGTTTAGGTTCACACTACCACTAAAGTTGTACTCATTGGAGCTATACTTTTAATTAGTCGGAAATTGGAGAGTCAGAACCATGGATGCAACTGAAATAATTGTGGCGTGGAAACTAACAGAAATAGATCTTACTCAAACATATAAGTTATAAAACTACAACACTACCAAAGTGGGAATTTTTAGTGCGATAATCATCGCTAATGTAAAACATTTTCAGGAACAATTGTTTGATAAACAAATTCGTGTTTCTTTAACGAAACTTTCGATCTGACTGTTTGGAACTAAGCAATATCAATTTAAGTATCTGCGTGTACATATACACAAAACGATTATTGATTGTTCCTTCAACTTAATCATATCAGTGTATTTAATTTTTATTTAGGTTGCTTCAAAAAATGTTAATCCATATACTAGACTCTTTTTGAGTATGTACACTTTATCCATGTATAAAAAGCCTATAAATTTTGTGATATAATTATTTTAAACCTAACCGAAACAAGTATTGTACCATCAGAGATAATTGAGTAAAAATGTAAATATTTACCTCGTAAGCCAATTATTCCTCCAGTCACTCCACCCGCATATGTACCATTTTTCCAGTCAGACTTCCCTCTTATCTAGAACAAGTTGGTTTTGTAAGTAATCAACAATCGAAAATGGGAGACCTGAAAAAACATACCGTTTCAATTGTACACTCTACTCCAGAGAACACTGCCCCAATCAGTGCAAAATTCTTTGCATAACTTAAAGTAGTTGTTTTCATTTCATGAAAAACTTGCTTGGCTGTTTGTGTTTCAACATTCGTGACTGATTGAGGTCCTATACTTGACGAGAAAAGCCCTATAACTGCCCCCAAACCATAGCCTACAAGAAAGGGCATTTGTGACACAGATTTTCAGTAGCTTAAATTTATATCGATATAATAATCAATCCAGGGTGCACGAATAAAAAGGCTTTGCTTTTACCTGCAACACAGCTCATCATAACTTTGAAAGGGCAGCTCTCGATGAATGATTCAACCATTTTCTCTTCGTGAGTTTTTATGGCCACAGGTCCTAAATTACGGGGAATTATAATATTCTCTCGGTATCTGTAATTGTTGCCTACAAAGTATCGTGTAAGATAAACCCATTCTTCAGGGAAAAGTTGTCTTTTTCCTGGCGGCGAGCTTTCACTAGACATCACAAATTGTCTCTAAGTTCAATTAAATTATTTAAAATAACCACGACTTCCAGTCATCTGCTTTTACTTGCGGCAAATATTTAATAAAACAATAAATTAATTTCTCTAACTCGTAAGAATAAGACCTAAAATTTATAGGTTAGAGGGCCTAGATCGAAGAGGTTATGAAATAGTTCACAGATCACAGAGGTTAGGACTCTGAGATCTGTGAAATAGTTCGAATGACGAGTTTAGTTCAAATTAGGATAAATGCAACAGATGCTCGAAAACGGGTTGTTGTCTTTTACTCTCCCACAGAAACTTGAAGCTTAAGCCAGCAAATATAATATACATAGTAGTTTTTCAAGGCGATTTAAAAATGTTTGATTTATTATTGCTTGGGTTAAAGCCAAAAAGTAAATATTTAAAGATGATTTTCGTTTTAAATAAACTGTTTAACGAAATTTTTTTTATGCCCAGGAAAACTCGCAAATGCGGTCTTTTGTATGTAGTTCGCTCAAGATAAAATGCCTTTTGCCGAACGTGAGCACTTTTTATAACACAACATATAAAATGTCCTAATTTTTTCACTTACTTTTTAATCACTGTATATTTGTGCAATCAAGTTTTTCTGACCTTTGATTTATTTAGCATTTACATTTTCTTTATTCTAAAATCTTCAGCATAAATCTCTTACGTTAATTATCATGATAATTAACTGCGGTCCTCTTGCATATACTTTGATGTCGATATTTTGGAACGTCTACTACACAATTGAAAATATTTCGATATCACTAAATAAATTAACATACCAATTAAAATTAAATTAATTAAAAATAAATAAAAAATTAAAACACTACAAATATGTAAAAACGAATATAATTGTTTCATTGTAGAAATAAATTATATGCGGTCTTGATTTTAAATTGCAAACATTTTCTTTGCATAAATTAATAACTGGTGTATTATTTTACAAGCACATCGGCAAGGAATGAAGCTAAGGGAAAAATACACAAACCTATTAGCAAACGGCATACAACAGTTTATTTTCCAAATAATATACACCAATATTTAAAAAAAAATCATAATAATTAACAATTTCTTTAAATTCAAGAAGGAACAATTCTTTTAGCTTAAAACGCTATGTTTATTCTAATATCTTGATCATTTTAGAGATCAGATTCGTACTAAAACCTTGACTTTTCAAATGTATGGCATGTTCTAAGATATTCATTGTTTTTAACCTTCGAGGCAGATCACTGGGTAAGTCCAAATATGTGATAAAAGAGGCCATTTGAGTGAGAGTGGGGTCAAAATCACCACCTGTTAAATACAGCTGAAGATTCGGTTTTAAACTATCTTCATAAGATTCCAATTTTCCCATCAGTTCTTGTTGCATTGCCAAAATAATTTCTTTCGATAATATATTTGGAATTGATTGACGTGAAAGGACTTGCTGTATTATAATTTTTAATTGCCACAAGCCAAGTGTATTTAGTTGGCAATCAAAATTTAAAATAATCTAAAACAAACAAACGGTTCTGAAAAACTGCAAATTTAAATTGTTACAGTGACCGAAAATATAAGCAAATGAAAAACAAATCATATTTCTTAAAATGACCTTAAGTAATATGTTATTAGATATAAGTAGAGTCCGGATTAAAAAGCACTCAAATTGTCGAAAAAAGCGCATAAAAGCAAATGGATTTTTCCCAAAAAAGTATTTAAAATGCACAGAGTTCTTCCAATAGGGCAAAAAATGTTATTTTTTAAAATGGTTTAAATAAAATTCAATGTAATGAAACAAATGAACAAAGTTTACTGAAATAGATTTATTCTAATTTCCTTCAGAAAACTTAAGCATGTTTTGCCCAAAACTAAAGTTTATTCTAACTATACAACCGAGACACGAGCAAGTGAAATGATTATTATTTCCAACACGAAATTACTAAATGTTTATTTAAATGTAAAATTGTAAATTTTGGGGATCACTATGAATATTTTTGTATGTCGAAAAGCTTCTCTCCATGTCCATACTTCTTGTAGGTGCATATGTAAATTTTGAACTAAAAACCGAAGGCATATATTTCAATTTTTTTTCAATGGCATGACAATATTGTCGGATACAAAAGTTTTATTTGGAAAAATTGACAATTGACCAGTTTCATCACCTAGTTGTAGGCGTTGAGTCATATAAGGCGTATCGGAAGACATTAGTAATTTTTTTTCCATGGCACCGGTTGAGGAAGGTAAAAGTTTCCACGACTTTCGAACAACTTAAATAACTTTTGGTCGGAACGGCTCATTAAGCACACAAAAAATCTTATTGTTAACTACTGTCTTTCACTGAAAATTATCATAGTGGATGCTGGGCATTTGGCTACATAAACTGGGCATTTGGGTACAAAGTTTTTGTTCACATTATTCATGAGGAGTTTTTTTCACATTAGTTAACAAAAGAATATTATTTTTATTATTTAAAACATGAATAATGCCTATAAATCCGGACTCTATGCTATAAGCTTATGCACGAGTGGGTGATGCATTACCAAAACACAAAAAAAAACAATCTCTTAAAAAATTTGACTTTAGACCTATAGATAGATAGACCAATCACTTACCTGTAATAACGATATTGTAATAGCAATAACCATATGTTTATCCTTAACCACCGCATCATACGCTGATGTAGTCAACAATTGAACGAATTTTTGCTCAGAAGGATTTGCATTAGCATTTTCAAAATGCAGCACTGTTTCGCAAAACTGCTTTACCGATTCGTCCGATGAAAACTGAATTATAGAGGAAAACGAAGGATCCCAAGGCACTATCGTGGAATTTGTTAGAGTCCGTGCCAAATCGCTTTGATATCCAAATTTATCTTTTAAGTAGCTTAGACATCCAGCGCGTTGCTTTACTTCTATGCAACCGGTAGTCGATAAAATTTTACTAAAAAAATCATCAAATGCATGTACATATTTCGGTTACAGAATGATTATTACTCACTTTAACCGATCCCAGTTCCGTCCTCTTTCAAATACTACCGGCCAATATCGTTTGTCATCGACTATGACTTTCCTTAAGGAGTTTACGTCTGGTATAAGTCCCGGTCCCTTAACAGTTAGTTCTTTACCATCTAAAAAATTATTATTTTAGCAGATAATACTAGTGGCAAGGTTAAATTATTATTATATAATAAATGCCCTTATGCAATGAATAACGAATACAAGTTACCTAATTTAACTAATCTCAATGCAGCATAACAAATTTTGCCTGAGATCACATCTTTAGGTATGACTAGTCGCGGCTCAACTGCCAAAACGTACAAGTGTCTAAAAGCTTGAAAATGATACCTAAAATCAGTTCAAAATTTGATATCATTACTCTAAGTTCCAAGCAAGAACAGACCTGTTGTCGTTACTATGGGTAGGAAACTTTGGATAAAAGGCACATATGAGAGCGGCAACATTCGCAGGTGAGTTGCTCAAAGTGTATCTCCCACCCCCCAGAAATAAAAGGCCCAATGCCGTGTGAAGGGCTAAATGAGAGCCATAAGTTACAATTGCACTATTTGGTATTCCTATGCGACATCGTAAATGCCGCACCAATCGCATTATTTCTAGATTGCCAGTCCCAGCCATCACCTATTAAAATACTATATTGTATATATTGCATAAAATAGAAAAGTTCAGTACTTATTTACCATCGACGCACTAAGCAATAGAACATTTAAACAGGTTTCTATAGTCGGCTTCCCCGCTAACTCAGCTATTGACTTTCCAGCTAGTGAACTGAACATGTGGCAGAAATATAACAGAGTTTCGAAAGCATCTTGGTCAGCTGATCCAGCAAACTTTAAACCCAATCCGAAACAGGCTCCAGCTATTATATTGCAATAAGCTTGACTGAAAAATAATAATTAAGTTATAAAATTGCGTTGATAGGCCAAGTAATAGAGGGATTGTCCTTGACATAAATCCTATTACAAAATCACATACGCCATTAGGTACAGGGCAACAATTTTCAACAAAAAATGGCGTTTTTTTTTTAGTTTTCCGCTTGTAAAATTGACACGATTGCAGTAATTTTATTGGTATAAATGGTTGAATTGTAGAGAATTGAATGACGAAGAGAATGAGGGGTCGATCGACACTTTATCGCCGAGAGCTGGTTGCTCCCGAGATTGAACTTGGAAACTACACATGGGTAGTAACAAAACGTATGTTCCATTTTTTCTATAAACTGCTTTTAAGTTGGTGAAACAGACTCTTGAATATGAGTGGCCGAGCACATAAAAGCGGTAGTGTGGTGGGGGACGCTGCTGGTTGAGGGAAAAGATATACTTTTCCCTGAGCTGATCCATTATGCACTGCGCTGAGCGCATTTGCATTAAATTGCAGTGCTCGGCCATTTTCACTCATAAGACTTTGTTTCACACACTTAAATGCAGTTTATAGAAAAAACCGGAACATACTTTTTGTTGCCACTCATGTTTAGTTTCCAAATCCACATTTTAAATTTCAATCGGACAATTTCAGGAGCAACCAGACATCGGCGAAAAAATCGCTGAAAAAACTGAAATGGAAATTGTGCGAAAACTATTAATCCGACCGAGTACAGCTTTTGCACACACAAAGTATATATAAATAGATACCCGTATGCAATATTGGAGCTCTAAATATAAAAAATGGCCAAGTTATGAATTTTTTAAGAAAACGTAAATTTTTCCGGTTTTTCTCCGATTCTCGAAAACGAGTTTTCACCGATTCTAATTATCCGATCGGGTCGCTCGACCCCTCATTCTCTTCGTCATTCAATTCTCTACAATTAAACCGTTTATACCATTAAGATT